GAGAGCCTCGAGCTTGCATGACGAATGGCTCCATCAACGCCTTCGTCATCATTTATTTGGACCGGCTTCATCAGCGCCGTCGTCCTCAGATCACGGCAGACCCCTCGGTCTCAACGTGATCCTTCATCTCAAGACCGGCCTCCTCAGCGCCGAGCGTCTTGAGCCAGCGAGCGGGCTCGCCATTCCCTTCTTGGATGGCGACCCTCGCCTTCATACGATGAGCAACTTCATCAGTGACGTCGTCCTCACATCACGACCGGCCCCTCGGCCAAGGCGTGATCATCTATCTCAAGACCGGTCTTAGCCATTCCGTCACCAGATGGCGACCGTTGCATGGATTGTAGGGCCGGCTCCTCATCGCCGTCGTCTTCACATCACGACCAGCCCCTCGGCTATGGTGTGATGCTCAATCTTAAGACCGGTCTTAGCCATTCCTTTACCGGATGGCGACCGTTGCATGGATTTCGGACCGGCCCCCCAGTGTCGTCGTCCTCATATCTCGAGACCGGCTCCCAACGTCGAGGTACTGTTATAGCGACCGGGCTCGCAATTCCCTTCCTGGACAGTGACCGTCGCCTTCATATGACGCACGGATCATTACCATTGTCGTTCTCACAATTCAGACGGGCATCCATCGCCTCGTCCTCATATTCGGACCGGCTCATCAGCGCCGTTGTCCTCACCACCAGGCGGGCGTCCCCTCATCAGACGGACACCGCTTCAGCTCCACACCTAGGCCGAAGGGTTCACCCCTTGGAGTTCATTTTGGGGAATCCGGTGTGCTCTTTTTCCCTCATTAGGATTTTTTCCCACAAGGTTTTTCCTAATGAGGTTTTTAACGAGGCATCACCCCATTGTGGATCAAAAGGTGTCGACCCTCGGCCCCTTATTGAAGACGTGTATTGCTCTACTCCTCTTCACCTCACTACATGAGCCTCAAGGAGTGGGGGACTGGGGGACTACATCGGCCTCCACATACATGAAATCATCCAGAAAGCAACAAAAAGCAAGGACTACCAAGTGGTACCTCCGTCGGCCATGTCTCCATCGGCCAGAAGAAGGTCTGGGGGACTACATTGGCCTCCAACGCAAAGATAAACAAATTCAAAATCCAACGAACACAAGCCCATGACAATGGTACCTCAACGTCCAACAACCATGTGTTCACCCTTCGGCCATGCTGAAGCGCAAAGCAGGACGCACATCATCCTCAATGTCAAGGACACACATCGTCCTAAAGATCAAGGGCACGTATCGTCCTCGAAGCCAAGGACACTCCTCGTCCTCAAGGCCAATGGCACGCATCGTCTCCGGGACTATGAAATTCATCGTCCATATCACGAACAAAACGAACACGCCACGAACGTCCGCAAGCGTAAGATCCATCAACTAAAGTCAAAAGCACAAGGGCAGGACATTCTTCGTCCACAGAGCCAAGGGCGGACAACGTCCTCTGGTCCAGGACCCTCATCGTCCTCAAAATGAAGGACATCCATCGTCCTCAAGATGAAGGACACTCATCGTCCTCAAAATGAAGGACATTCATCGTCCTCAAAATGAAGGACATTCGTCGTCCTCAAAATGAAGGACATCCGTCATCCTCAAGATGAAGGACACTCATCGTCCTCAAAACGAAGGACATTCATCATCCTCAAGATGAAAGACACTCATCGTCCTCAAAATGAAGGACATTCATCGTCCTCAAAATGAAAGACATTCATCCTCCTCGAAATGAAGAGCATTCGTCGTCCTCAGAATGAAGAACATTCACAGTCCTCAAAATGAAGGACAAGGCAGCCAACAATTATGGCACCGCCTCGGCCAGGAACACTACAATTCCCAGGTAATCCTCCATCGGCCAAAGCGTCAGAACAACAAGGATCTACTCCCTTTCACTTAGTCTACACCTCAGCTCAGAGAGTGGGGGACTCCTGATGGAGTATATGGGTCCAAACCCCATGACCCACATACTCAGAAGACTAAGAGGAAGCGCAGCTTTCACCCAGTGGGTCCTCCTTCGGCCAGGTGGCCCTCCACCAGCCGTAGAAGAGTCGATCCAGAATACGGTCCAGAAGCCAAGGAGAAGAATTGTCCCTCGTCGGCCGGTGCCCCCGTCGGCCAGTGCCTCTGTCGGCCGGCGCCCCTGTCGGCCAAGCAACAGTCAGCTCAGAATATGGCCCAGACAGCAATCAGCTCGGACAGTCCTCCGTCGGCCGTGTCTCCATCGGTCAGGCGCCTCCGTCGGCTGGCGCCCCCATCGGCCAAGTAACAGTCAACCCAGAATATGGCCCAGGCAGCAATCAGCTCGGATGGTCCTCCGTCGGCCGTGTCTCCATCGGCCAGGCGCCTCCTTCGGCCGAACCTCCTTCGGCCACAGAGAACTTCCAGAACCGGATTTCATACTTAGTTATTTTTACACTCTTTGTACTCGGCCCAGTAGTGGCCCAATTGTAAATGGGCCTCCCAAGCCCAAGACTTGGGAGTCCGACCCTAATTTCCTCTATAAATACTCCCCTTGGGAGCCATGTAAGGGGTTCACAAAAATCATTTATTGAAGCATTTACTTGCACTTCTCTCTCTAGCTCTTATTTCTCTCTAGATATATACTTTGTCAATAATAATAATAATGATAATAGTAAAAATAATAATAGTAATTATAATAATAGTAATAACAATAATTATAGTAATAATAGTAATAATTATAATACTAATAATGATAATATTACTTGTAATAGTAAAAATAATAGTACTAATAATTGCAGTGATAATAATAGTACTATTATTGTTGTTATTATTGTTATTATTAGTATTATTATTATTATTGCTGTTATTATTGTTATATTATTATTATTAGTATTATACTATTATTATTAGTTTTATTATTATTATTAAAAATGAGTCAGTCTTATGTGACGACGGTAATCCCCTCAATTATAGGGAATTAGGGATATAGTTGTTCCAATCGTCTCGACACTTTCATGAACTTCCGGACGGAGACTTAAAATCTAGGGAAAATGAAAATTAATAATTCAACCTTTTAAAGGTCTTCATTCGTTGGTTTCATTTTATCGTTATTCATGAATAATCCAACCTTTGCACCTCATCTTCATTCGTTCGTCCCTGACCGGTTGATGACCTGCTATTCCAGTTTTTTTCATTTTGTTTACAAATCATTCAACCATAAATCCCACCTTTCACAAATCTTCTCCAAACGGTCCCACGTATCATTTTTCTTTTTTTTTCTTAAAACTTTTCCCTTTTTATTTTTATCGTCTTGACTATTTTATTCTCCTGTTTTGTCTTCTTATTATTATTTTTACTACTTTTCAATTTTTTTTTTATGTTTATGTATTCCATTTTTCCTTTTTTCGTTCATTCCGTTTATTATTTCATTTTCATTTTTATATATTTTTCAGATTGGTTTCCTTATAAAAGATCTTTTTCTCACCGTACTAACTTTTTACTTTATTTTCTTTTAACTTACACTTATATTCCTTTTTCCCTTTCTTACCTTTATTCTAACATTAATATATTTTTGAGAAAAAAGCCCAAAAATAGGACTAAACTAATTCCTAAATGCACAAATAGGACTATGTTATTTATCTTCCCAAAATAGGAATAAAATACCGTCTATCTTCTTATTCTACATTTCTACTCTTAGCATAACTTAATAGACAGTGCTTTAGTAAAGATAAATAACACAGTCCTATTTGTGCATTTGAGGATTAATTTAGTCCTACTTTGGGGCTATTTTCTCAAATATATATTAGTGGTAGAATAAAGATAAGAAAAGGAAAAAAGGAAATAAATAAGTGTAAGTAAAAAGAAAATAAAGTAAAAAGTTAGTACAGTGAGAAAAAAATCTTTATAAGGAAAGTAATATATAAACATTGAAAATGGAATACTAAACGGGAAGAAGAAAAAGAAGGAAAAATGGAATACATAAACATTGAAAAAAATAAAAAAAAATGAAAAGTAATAAAAATAAAAATAAGAAGACAAAAAGGGGGAATAAAAGACTCAAGATGATAAAAATAAAAAAGGAAAAGTTTTAGGAAGAAAAAAGAAATATGACATGTCGGATCGCTTGGTGAAGATTTATGAAAGGTGAGATTTATGGTTGAATGATTTGCAAAGAAAATGAAAAAACTTGGAATAGTAAGTCATGAACCGGACATGGACCAACGATTGAAGATGAAGTGAAAAAAGTTGAATTATTCATAAATAACGATAAAGTGGAACCAACGAATGAAGACCGCTAAAAGGTTGAATTATTAATTTCCATTTTCCTAAAATCTATGGGCATAAGTCTAGTATAGTCTAGTAACAAAGAAAATTGTGTCACATTTCGTGGGTAGCCCGTCGATGTGATGTATTTTAGATGGATTGGATTTCAGTGAATTTAGCTTTGATCTAACGTACGCAACTAAATTTACTTTGCAAATGTAGACTTTGGTGGTAAGACCAAGACCTTTTGTCTAAATGACAGATTTGATTAACTTTAACAATTTGACATAACGTAATTGCTAAATTACATGCGTGGCATCTGGTAAGTGTCAATTTCAATAGATGGGCATAAGTTTCACATCTAAGACATGCATACCATTTTTAAAGATGGCAAAAAAACTAAAACATAAGAATCCTAACCACAAGAGTAAGAATTATATGAAAAGACATCTTTTTTCAGTACACCGGATTAAAATAGACCAAACTAAACAAGACTTAAACAGATCAGACGTCCATAGTTATAACATACACAGAAATCACACATTTATCAGACCAGACCAAACCAATAATTCAGACCTGACCGGACTTAAATATATCAGAGCAGACCAGTAAATTTGAGTCCAAGTAAATACATTGTGAATGATTTGATTGAGTACATGTATTCGTTCAAATGAGATTTCCGGCCATGTCATTTTAAATAAATACATAAAATTTATTTTGATTTTGTTTGATAAAATGAAATCGATATCTCTGTACAAAAGAAAAACGGGTTGGAAAATATTTTCTGTTTATTTGACATCTAAAATGTGAACTGAATTGAAGGCGGAAGTAATCACATGAATTGAATGGAACATTTTTCTGAAATTGTATTTGTTACTAATTAAATTATAGTATTGCAATTCTTCTCCAGCAATTTTTGAAGATATATTGAATTGGCAGCTGGGATGGCAAGCTTCCATCTTGACATATTTGAAGATAAAAATAGCCAACAATGGTGTCAAGAACATGGACAAGAGCGTACAAATAGGCTATCAACATTCCCTCTAGTGCCACACCCGCTGGGAAATTCCAAATGGTTTCTTCATCTTCACGATGATAAGCCCTCATCACTATTCTGTACTGAAACAGAGCCTCAACCGCAGCAAGTGCAGCATTGATGATCATGGCTAATGACAGCACTGTTGCCGTCCTTCCCCTGACCATCATAACACATGATGATGCTTTCTTGACAGCTTCGATGAATCCTCCATTGTTTTTGTTCACTCCTGTTATAATCAATGTGAGGTTGCAGATGATGAAGGTGCAGGCAATAGCTATGGAGAAAACCAGACCTCCAATGGCAGAAAGAAAGAGGGTGAACCCGGGGAAATAGTATGAAAGGCCCAATCCATCAGCCAGAGTGAAGGCTATGAACATGAATGAGAAGCAGGTTGCATTTACACAGAGGGCGAGTAAGGAATTGCAGATCTGGGTATGAACTAACGGGCCGTAAATTTTGACAAAGGAGAAAAAAGGCGGGTTCTTGGGGCGTTCTTGATCTTCCAGAGCGAGAATCACGGCGGCTTTGCTGAAGAGGAATGAGGAAAGTGTGGACGGGATGGCAAGAACAGAGACGCAGATGGTCTGGGAGATCTTTGCTTGGAGGATTGAGGAAGGGGGGAAGCCGGCAGCAAGGAAAAGAGAGTGAATTCGGGCGTGAATTAGCCGCCGGAAAGAGGACGATGAGGCGGCGGCGGAGGCGGAGATAAGGAAGGATGATCGGAGAAGGAGAAGTGAGGCTGCAAACGGGAAAGCCAGGAATGCTGCTGTGGTGGTGAAGAACTGGTAGTTCTGCAGAAATGTAAAGACTGATCTTCTGAGAATCGTGGTGGATGACGGCGATCTTTCTGCCATGGGATAGGTAGCAGCTGATTGATTTGAGAAGAGGAATGAATTGAAGTTGTGGAGACGACAATGGGAGTGGGGGAATCGATTAAAACAAACGTACGTACATACATACATACAGTTAGTTTTGTCTACAAGATTCTGTTGACCGTTGTACCTATTTCTGATCACATCTTGACTTTATTTCGGTCATGCCAAATTAGTACTTGTACATATGGAGTTTAACCAAATTACTGTGGATTGTTGCGGCACCTACGGATGCTTCTATGATTAACGGTAGTTATTTTATCACAGGGATTAGTGGGCACAATTTCTGTAAGATTATTTTTTTTGGATAAAATATAAGTATATATATCCAGAAAATAGCAAAGTACAATGCATCAAAAAAATCAAAAATAATATCTAAACTAGCATGTGAACCTAAAATAGTAACTATCGTATCCCCCTCCCCCCAACCTCGCAGTAAGTGGGGATAGAGAGATTTTTTATGAAGTCAAAACGGCACAGGACAGGTCCCGACACGTAGCACAAAAGATCAAAACTAGCACGGGACAGACCCCCGACTTAGTAATCAAAAACCAGTCCGCAAAATAGATCAACACCTAAAATCCAGTCCAAGATAAGCGACTGGACCGTGAGCTAATAAAAGCCCCCAGGCCCAGCACACATAACAAGCGTCCAGGGTGAGTTTCCCCTATCCTCAATTTCCTCATGCATCCGAGCGGTCAGGTAATTGTCCCCAGTCCGCATCTTCCTAACTTCGAACCTTGCTTTCTAGCCCCAGAAAACTTCCATCTTCGGCTCGTTCACCACCGTCACAGGCCCCCCATCTCAAAACCAGTACACAGGGTTACTAGCCGCCGTCAATGGCAGCCTCGGTTGTTTCCGGCGAGGTTTAGGCCATTGGAGAACAAACCTCCATAAACATCTCAGAACACCCATCCAAGTGGTGTTGGAGCTTCCAAAAATCAGAACTATGCACCTGAAACCCACCGGAGCCAAGAGGCCCCCGGCGGCGGCGGCCATCGTGAGTGGTGGTGCCGACCTGAAAGGGAAGAATAGCCCGAGTGGCTAGAGAGAGACTCTCTCAACTTCCTTTCAGGCTTCCTGTAAGATTAAAACATACACAATGTTATATTTGTAATCCTAATTCTACTTATATTCTCTATGATGTTTTAATACCTAGATAGGAAGGTAAAGCAAAGTTAGAAAGTAATTATACATGATGGACTCTAATTGATTTATTCAATTAGACCATTAAATTTGGTCTGGCCTGTTTCAGTCCCTTCCGCCGCTGTTTGAGCCTGATATTTCCTTAATCCAGTCTGATTCTCCTTATTTGACCCAGCTTGTTTGGTTCGCATATAAAACGTCTCCTTCCACTCTTCTGGAAACATCTTTGCATCATTCTAAACCCTAAATACAGAGAGGCGATTCTGAGAGCTTGTGCGTTGAAGGAGAGAGAAACCTTTGGTTTTCTTTTCAAGATCCGAAATCACTTGAGGCCAGAATAAGCTGAGAAAGGCAAGAAGTAAATCGTGCGGTGAAGCTTAGATCCAGAGCAGTTGGTTTGAATCCAAGAATCTGAGAACTCCTAGGTTTTGATAGTTTCGTCCGGTTATTTCTGTTCCTTTTCTTATTTTATTCGTGTGCTTGTTTTTTGGCTGATTCTTGTGTGTTGGATCTGGTTATTTTCGTACATTGCTTTGCAACCATCTGTGTATTCAAACTGTTCTGAGCTAGTGGATTTTTGGGACTGGGTTTCCCCTGTTGAAACCCCGTTGATTAGGATTTTCAATCTGAATTGCGTCAACATATCGTGCAGTGTGTTCTTTTCTTTAATTTCTGTTTGGTTGAACTTGAAGTTTGAATCCGGTATTTTGACTGTGACTGTTGATATAGTCTGAGAACACACAAAGTTCAAAAAATAGAATTAAATATGTTTTATTACAAAATACGAAGTATGACTTACTTAGTACTATTAAAAGAATAAACTGATTAAAATTTTCTAAATTAAGAGAAACTCTCTTACTATACCCTTGAGCCACCCCAACTCTATCATCTCTAGGAAGAGTTATGTTTCTCTACCTTGTGGGTAGAGAACCTCTCAGCTTTACAACAAAGCTCTCACAACACACTAACAAACCTGAGGAAGCTACACATAGCTAATCTTCAAAACCCGATTACAATATGAAGAAGGGAAAAAGAAATTATATCTATAACTTTGTATGAGCTGTTTCAGGTGCCTTAGACGTTGTAGTTCTTTGATGAATATTCCTCTCAATAATAGTCTCGGTCAAGCACACTTATGTTCTCTTGGTCCTGACCCTCCTGGCATATATGTAGCTCCTTGGAGAAGTCCCTTGACACTTTTCTTTCCTTAAATGGTCGATGAACTTGCCTAGTTGCCTTGATATTATTTAAAAAGCTTTCCTTTCATTTGAGGATATAATGATCCTTGGTCAACCATACATATTTATGGTAGTAATACGTATATACATGAGTGTTGGAGATTTAATTGTGAATCAAGTTGGTCATAGATTAGCTTTATATTTAATCCTTGTATTTAATTAGTGCATGAATTAGATAGAAATCAGGCCAAGTGTTAGGCCCATATAAACAGGCTAAAAGCCTGGTACGCCTAACCTAAATCTCGCCTATAAAAAGGGAGCCGAGGTATAGGAATAGGTTGAACGTCGTACTTATTATTCATAGCCTTACGCATATCATTCTGTTGTACGTGTCCACGGTTTATCAAAGAAGGTTTTACGGTGATTCATTCTGTGTTCATCTTTACGTTTAATCTTCCTTGTTAGATCGATTATTCATTGCTGTTACAGAAACAGGGAATAACAATTGGTATCAGAGCCGATCGAGAACGATCTGAAGAACTCCTGCAGAATACTCTGTTTTTGTTAACGTAGTTCTTTCTGTCGATTTTTTGCTCTGTAATTTTGTTTCTTGATCAAAAATTGTAAAAGTTACACCTTTGGAATCGCCTTTTCAAAGCGATCAAAGGGTATACTTAAGATTGTGTTTTACGCAAATTCAGATTTCGAGATATCTCGAGCAGGGGTTGTCGACATCCTGCTTTTTCACAGGTTCTGCTACGTTTTTCGAGCTGAAAACTTTACCCTACGATCTCGACATTCTACTCTACAGGAAACTACCTTCAGATTTTGTTTATCTGATTTTTACAGGTTGCAGGATTTCGACATTGAGGATTTCGACATCTAGGATTTCGAGATCTTAATTTCGAGAAAAGGATTCGACATCTGGTCTCGACATTTGACTTCTCAGATTAAGATTTCGAGTGATTAACTTCTCGACATTTCAAATCTCGAGATCAGCATCTCGAAATTTGAAATCTCGAGATCCCTAATCTCGAGATCCTTAATCTCGAGCCCAAATCTCGATACCGGGCCTCCTTTATCAAAATCTTAGATTTCGATATTCAGATCTCGACATCTGATTTTTCGACTTTCTGCCTCTAAAAATCTTTTGATCAATTTTCTCGAACGGTCAGTTTAGTACAGCAATGGGTTCAGAATACAATGCACAAGGGAACAGCATTACCCCTCCTAGCCTCAGGAAGGGAGAATATCAAATGTGGAGGAACAGATTTCTAAATTTCCTCGAGCACAAAGAGAACTCTGCTGCGATGCTCGAATCTTTGCTTGAAGGACCAGCTGAACTCTTGATTTCAGTTGGTGGAGATCCAGAAAATAATCCTCCTATTTTTCCAGAAATAAGGAGAAAAGTGCCATCTGAATACACAGAAGCTGACAAGCTCAGACTTCGTGGTGACCTTATGGCCAAAACATACCTCCTTCAAGCAATACCAAATGAAGTTTATGTTCTCATTGATAGCATGCAGACAGCTAAGGAAATGTGGGATGAAATAGAGAAGCTGCTACAAGGCACAAGCATCAGCCTCAAAACAAAGAAGACTACGATTCTCATCGCTTATGACTCCTTCAAAGCAGGTCCAGGAGAACCATTGAATGAGACTTACAACAGACTTGTTCAACTGGTAAATGAACTCAGAAAGATCAAAGTATTCAGGTTCAATCTGGAACTGAATATTAGATTTTTATCCAGCCTGCATCCTGCATGGGAAAAGACAGTGAAGGATGTCAGATCTCGGATAGATTTGGACGAAATTGACCTCTGCACACTCTATGAACATCTGAAGCAATTCGTCAACGAGGTTGCCTGTGCTGAGGATCATCACACCACAAACCCCTTAGCTCTTGTAATGGAGGCTCAGCCAAGAAGGACAACCACTTCACTAAAGAAGAAAAAGAAGAAGGTGGTGGTTGAATCAGATGATGATGAGAGTGACAATGACAAATCTGATCTAGAGGCTGAGCTAGCAGACTTACAGAAGAAGATGGCACTGCTTGCCAAAAGATTTGCTAAGAAGAACAGCTCCTCCAACAGGCTGAGAACTTCCTCCTCAAACTACAAGCAGAAGAACCATGATCAAGGATATTCTAGGAAGGCATCATCAGCAGAAGAAGCTCCTAAATGCTATAACTGCGACAAGCCTGGACATGTGATCAAAGACTGCCGCCTCCCAAAGAAGAAAGATGTTAACTTCTACAAGCAGAAGATGCTGTGGAATAAGCAGAAAATGCTGATGGTGCAGAAAGAAGAAGAAATCTCTGCCATGATTGCTGAGAATGAGAACTGGGCAGAAGATTCTTCTTCTGAGGAGGAGGAAGACAACTATGTCCTTATGGCACGTGTGGAGGGAGATGAAAGAAAGGGTGATGCTGCGATCCCCGAAAGCGAGTGCTCAACAAGCTCTGTAAGTACCTCACATACTTCTTTAAATAATCAAATGCAGTCCTTACTTGAAAAGGACAATCTAATCAAAGAACTAAAGGAGAGACTAGACAATAATCATAGAGTACTGAAACAGAATCTAGACCAAAAGTCTTCCTTAAGTGTTCAACTTGAAATTGCAAAAGATCAAGTCAAAAAGGTGTCCTCAGATTTTGAAAGCCTTGAACTGAAGATAGCTGAATTAACTAGGAAATTTGAGGACAGTGAACGGGAAAAAAGCACAGCAAAGG